GGTTTTGGGGGATTTTAACTCACCCAGAACCACATGGGGTTACCCAAAAGACTCGCCGAAGGGAACGCGTCTCGAACATGGTGCGTCTAGGCTGGGCCTGAGTTTAATAACTCTCCCGATCGCGCCCACAAGAGTGGGCAACAGCGAATGTGGAGACACGTTCCCGGACCTCACTTTCACCTTCAACCTCAAAGACGCATCCTGCACAAACCTGGAGGAAAATCTAGGAAGCAACCATTACGTTATAAGGGTCTGCATATCGACTCCCAAACTGCGCAGATTCATTGGCGACGCGGCGATCACAGATTGGACTGAGTTCAGGAAACGAGATCCTCCACCCGACTCTGTACCGGACTCAATAGGGGCATGGTCGGAGTACATAAAGTCGGTACACGCAATCACTACGAAGAAAATAGTCAGAACCGTAGAGACGCCAGCAGTACACAGCCGTCTGCTACACCTATGGGAGAGCAGGCGCAGCCTAAAGCGTTGGAAACGTCAACGCCTGAATAGGACACTACTGCGTAGGATCGCTGCTCTTGCAGGGGAAGCAAACGACTATGCAAGCAAATTGGCTACCGAGGGATGGGTCAAGTTCTGCAGTTCGCTTCAGAACACACTGAGCACCGCGAAAACTTCGTCCATCCTAAGAAATATTCTTGATCCAGACAAGTACAAATCCACAACAAGCAGAACACTGCAGAAAATTGCAGAAACATTTCCGGGCAAGGACGACGACCTCGTGAAAGCCCTCAAGGAGAGATATATTGGTGATAGTCCACCAAGTAATTCGGCTAATCACATGAGCTACAGCGGAGCTAGAAATGAGAAACTAGACGAGCCGAGAACGAAGGAGGAGGTCTTTGCGGCAGCCCAGGCAGCCAAGAGGAACACAGCCCCCGGTGAAGACCAAATTACGAATGCGATGATAAGAAACCTTAGCGACAAAGCCATCGAAGGCCTGACAAAACAATTCAATGAACACTATTGGCTTTAAGAGAAGGTCCCTACAGAATGGAAAACCGCCAAAATTATAACCATTCCGAAACCCAGAAAAAAGCCCTCCCTGCAGGCGCTCAGACCTATATCATTTACGTCATGTACGGGGAAGCTTTTTGAACAGGTCGTTCACACCAGACTTCAGAATTTCATAGAAGACAGGGGGCTGTTTCCGGCCACCATGCTGGGCTTCCGCAGCGATCTCTCAACACAGGACACTTTCCTCCTGATACAAGAAGAGGTCCTCAAAGGCGTTCCCAAAGGTGGAGAGCATTTGTTGCTTGCTCTAGACTTAAAGGGAGCTTTTGACAATATCTCTCATGAAGCTATACTCTCAGAGCTAAATATAATTGGTTGCGGGGAAAAGATATATAACTATATAGAGGATTTTCTCACCGATCAAGAGCCGACAATTGGTATCTCAAGCGTTAGGTCCGAGCCATTCCGAATGCCAAACAAGAGAACGCCTCAAGGAGCCATAATATCTCCTGTGTTGTTTAATATCGCCATGCTTCGACTCGCTCGGGCCTTAGATTGTGTACCACAGCTAGGTTATACCCTCTATGCAGACGACATGACTCTGTGGGCCACATAGGGGTCCCTGGCCAGCAAAGAGCAGACTCTGCAAGAGGCGGCACTGGCTATCGAAAACTTTGCTAGAACCAGTGGTCTCAGCTGTGCACTTGAAAAATCGGAGGTGATCAGAATACACAGCAAACGCTATAAAAGTAATGGAAGAATAGAAATTGAAATCGAAAAGCAGAAAATTAAAGAAGTCACCGTCACCCGGATCCTGGGTTTCTGGGTTCAATGCAATGGTAAGGCAAATAACACTAACGGTCTTCTTAAATCGGCAACTAAACAAGTGGCTAGGATGATTCAGGGGATCACCTTCCACAAAAAAGGCATGAAAGAAAGTGATATTGTCCGTTTAGTTTAGGCACTCGTAATGAGCAAATTGACATACATCTTGCCTTTCCACACGCTGAACAAGAGCGAGGAAGAGCAAGTAGATTCTATCATCAAAGGGGCTTACAAGGCAGCATTAGGCTTACCGATAAGCACTCCGACACAGAGGCTTCTCGAGATCGGCCTGCATAACACGTACGCTGAAATGAAAGCAGCAACATTGATCTCTCAGCGCAACCGCCTCAGCCAGACGAAGCCGAAAAGAGAGATACTGAGAAGGGCGGGTATACCACCGCAACCCCAAAACTTGGACGAGGAGCTGGTAGATGTACCAGACCCAGTCTGACGACATATTTCGATCGCCCCTATCCCCAGGAACATGACCAAGAAGCGGCATCACGAAAGGCGAGAGGAGCGTGTAAAATGGATCAGAAAATTAGTCAGGGGCAATGAGAACGTGCTATACATTGACGCTTCTAGGTACAACTGGAAGCACTGCATCGTCACAATGGTAAGCAGCGACACGAGAAGCATAGCGTCCAGCGCATCACTGTACACTACATCGATCACCAAGGCCGAGTGTTTCGCCATCGCATTGGCGATTAAAAGTTGAGAGCGCAACGACGGCCAGATGTACATCACCATACTCTCAGATTCGCAAGAGACGTGCCGGCTATTCACGAAAGGCCACCTCCCATTAAACATTTGCAAATTTTTAGGCGGCCAATTGAGAAACACTCATAGGTTGGTCTGGTGCCCGGGACAAGCAGGCCTCGAGGGTAACGAAAGGGCGGACGCTCTAGCTCGAGCGCTCACAAACCGAGCGGAGCAGCAGCCTTTCTCGCTGTTACCACTACCCAGCAACGACGGCTTTCGCGAGGAGGAGAAAAACGACCCGGCTCGGATGGCTCCACGAGAGCTTCTTGCTCACCAGCGTTGCACGCGGCAGAAATATGGCGCCCCCCACAAATCTCTTAAAGGGGAAGATGCCATAGACCTTTGTAAAATTGAAACGGGAGTTTATGCAAATTTATTACGACTGCACAAAATTCATCCAACTTTGTATGGGCGCGACTGTCCGTGGTGTCGCGACTCGCCACCGACCCTTTACCACATCTAGTGGAGTTGTGCTAAACGGCCAAATGAACTCGATCGCTTACAGCGTATCTTTGGAGCAATGGGAGGCACTCCTCGCTAGCTTGGACCCGGAGGTGCAACTAGCACTCCTGGATCATGTCCGGCAGGCGGCGCAAGCCAGTGGAGCCTTGAACATGGGGCCCCACCCATCTAGCTCCTAACCCCCCCCCCCCCCCCCTTTTTTTTTTCAACCCAATAAAGTTATTTCTCTCTCTCTCTTTCTGTGTAGTAGGCCGGCATTCACAACGCTATCCTTCGTCATTCTTTAAGAAGTGCGGTATCTGCTAAACACTTGGCAACGAATTTTGTGAGAATTTTGTGTTGCATCCAGTGGTTGACGACGATGAAGAAGTATGCCTGAAGTGGGTATGTGCCACAATTAATAGGTGATTAAGAAGCTTTTGCAATGTATTGAAGCGTTGGACGACCCACTCATTACACGATTCCCATTGTGTGATGCCTGGTTGTTCCTTTGCTGTTCTGAAACACTATTACTCATATTAACGCGATTCCTTTCCCGACAAACAAGCCTGTCTAAGACGAATTTGCAAACAAGTCCCAAGCACTGGTGTGGCTCAGTGGTAGAATACTGGGCTGGCACACAGTGTACCCGGGTTCGAATCCCACTGATGTCACCACATGTCTTAGGTGTGTTTTGAGTTTTTTTGTGTTACGATTACAGGCGGCAAGCAACTATGGCATCACGCGCGACTCGTGTTGTGATGTCATAACAGCTTTCGTTGTAATAATATTAATAATACCTGGGGTTTAACGTGCTAAAGTCACCATATGATTATGAGAGTCGCTGCAGTGGAAGGCTCTGGAAATTTCGACCATCTGATGTTTTTTAACACACCTAAATCTAAGCACACAAACCTCAAGCATTTTCACCTCCATCAAAAATGCGGCCGCCGTGACCAAGATTCGATCCCACAACCTGTGGGTCAGCAGCCGAGTACCTTAGCCACCAGACCACCATGGCAGGTAGATGATGATAGTAGGATTGCGGCATGATAAGAGCATGGTTTTCAAGTTCGTACTATATACAATGTCACCGCATCAGTGTGCCTGTACTACTGATGCACATGCCGAATTCTGGTGCAGTGTTATAACTCGGAGGGCACTTATTAGAAAAAACACTCACTAGTACAATACTAAAGGGGCTCTGCAACACTTTTCCAACTAATCGTTGATTGGCTTTATTAAAGAAGTTTTATGCCTGAAGAAACTACTTCCACAAAGATTTTTTAGAATCCCGTCAAATATGAGTGGACTTGCTGGCATTTGTAGCATGCTCAAAGTGTTTTTTATCTCCTTTTGCGCAGAGGTGGGATCACAATGGGGAAAGCTACACCCATTCCTCAGGTCGTGCCCATGACTATAAGCACTTTCTTTTCCTTTTTTTTTCTTCAAATACTTGTCTTAATCTCGGTGCAATTGCGAGTGAATGTGCAGGCACATCACGGCATCTCCCAGCAGCCACGGACTTTTTGTTTATGACGCAGTCATTTGGGTTTATTACATCACTGGTCGAGAGATGGAGTGATTTCTAGCTAACTTTGAAAATTAACTGTAAATTCTGGGCCATGTGCTGCACTGTGTTTGGCTCACACATTCTTAGAAGCCTCGCTTACCTATCAGCAGCACTTTCCGACCATACAGAAAAAGTGTTGCCGGGCCCCTTTAAGTTTGATGCCAAATGTGTGCGTTTAGCCTATTCCCGTGGCTGTAAGTTCTGTGCATCATGGATGCGACATATGGCATTTGGTCTGCAACTCAGGAGCAGTTCCTCTGCTATTCTACGACTTTTCCCACCACTGGTCAAAATTTCATTCCACGCCGCTTTATCAATGGCAGGAGGCTAATGAAGCTGAAAGGCATAAACAAAGTGATATAATCACTCCACGATAGCATCCTCAGAGAGTGCATAAGATCAAATGTAGCCGACGACTCACGTGTGGGATACTGAGGGTTGCATGGTGTGCTGTCGTCATTCTTCAACTGGACCCGAATGCGACCTCGATACAGCAGACTGTCCTTGTTTTGTTCCCGGGGGTACAACTTGTTCTGAAATGGGCACAAATCGTAACATATTTTGACTGCAACAAATGCAGTATGGGCCATCAATAAAAGAATTTCGTTATGTAAATATGACACAACTTCTCTATACAAAACACAGCTGCGTTCCATGTTGCGTTGTTGAGGAAGCTGAGCAATTTCATACCTCAACTCCTACTTTGAAGCCGGTTGCATCTAGAACGTCCCGAATCTCCTGGTAGGTCGGGTTTTCCACACACTGTTGCAAGGAAATAAATGCAAACACAAGGTGCTTAAGAACACAAGATTTCTTAAAAAGGCACAAGAGACGCAGCAATGATGGTAATCACAACACAGGCTCACTATGTACAACAACGGGAAACACACTATTAGTACAGCTGGTTTTTCTCAGCTACCATATCAGATGAGCTAACTAAGATGTCGAAACAGGGTTCTGCAGGGTTTTCAGATTCCTGTTAAATGTATATTTCACTTAGGTAAAGGCACTTAGTTTACCGACTACTGCAGCTGGAGAGCTGTTGCAGCTGCTAATCATGAGGTCGCAGGTTCGGTATCCGACAGGGATGGAATGTCAGAGAGTCCAGTGAGATCTAGGTGCATGTTAAATATACCGTGGCGATCAAAGTTGTTCCAAAAGAATTCACTAAGGCACGTATCGTAGTCGAGGCATCGTAATAATGAGCAATGTAATGTTGAATACGTGGCGCTCTGCCAGTAAGAACAAGTTAATGTAATGAAAACAGCTCCCTGACAGCACCAAAGCATATTTCATTTCATTTATTTACTCTCAAGGCACTGGGCATATCGTTCGCGTCGAGTTCTTAAAAAACACCAGTGTCGGGTATGTCATGCTTACCTGCGATTTTGGTAGCCTCCGGCCTTCAGCAAGAGTCTTTTTGCTGTTTATGTATGCTGGGTATATACATACCCACCTGGTTAAAAATCAGAAAAAAGGAGAAACGCGGAAATGTAGTAGACCACAACAAGATGGCAAGAACCTTGCCACGTCTTTTGTACAATACATTTGGCTTTGAAGCTTGTCTTATTTTCATTACCAACAAGCGCTATGCGTCATTGAGTATATATGTCAACGTGGTGAGTAGCTATCTCGAAGCTAGTTAATCACCTCTTTCAATATGAGTAGCTAGCTTCGAATACATGTTCCAAAAGGAACAGTAGCAGCAAAACACGGCCACTAACCAATACCAGGCTAGCACGATCGATCAAGAACGAAATATGCGTGTCGGTCAAGTTGTAAAAATACGAATGAAAAGCCGAATTACCAAATACAACAGGTGTTACCAAACTACTACCTTCACCCTATGCGACGTAACCACTGAAAAATTACTTTAGGAGACGAGATGTAAGGGAGCACCTATCGAAGCATGCACTTGCATATGCGATCTCTTGCCGATCCATACGATCAACCATACGGGTCGACCTCTATACTCTGATGGAGAATTTAAGAAATCTAAATAACAACAGCAATCGAATATGCAAGCCAGAGCAATTTCAGCGCGTTACCTCTCACGGTCAGAATGCTGTTTTGAAGCTAGATAGGCAGCTGCCATGTTGGCTTTACAACAACTGCTAGCG